GAAGAACAGCGACTCCCAGCATGTGTGAGTGGAAAGACGCTTTTTGTCAAATAATCACCAATAATCAGACCTAATTAGAATCACCAGTTATTGTGTTGAATCCACATCTACCCAACTATTTTTCCAATACATTGACGGTATTATGATGCAAGTTGTTGTAATTACTACAGGAAAAACACAAGGGGCAGCACTGAAATTAAAGGAAGAAAACAACCAGCTCCAGGCAGCCAATCACATTCATGCTGTGCACATAAATCAGAACAATGGGTCGAGCTATGCTCCACAATAACCCCACAACTGAAAAAAAACACAAAAAAAACGCTGGTGCCAAATCCACTGAGACACTTAGAAAAAAATGAACCCTAATGTAAACGTTGATCATCAACAATCCCTCGTTTGGGACCAAAAAAGTTCAATCCCATCTAATCTAATCTAATCGGATCCAGTCTAATCTAGTCCAAACGTGTATGGAAGACACTCCTTCTTGAATCCCCAGCAGTTTGGCATCAGCCATGACAACAACACTCTCTTAAACAAGTTCTGAGTGCGTACCTGTGGGCAATTTATCCCACTGCCAGCGCACTGGTGCGGCGTGCATCACAGTGAGCCGGTTTCATCAGCCGGCATATTTCAGCAGAGACACTATAGAAGCAGACAGCTGCTCTTGAGTGGCCAATTATGTCCGTTTATCTCCCTTCCAGGCACAGCTGTGATCAAACTGAATGAAGAAACAGGATCAAGCAGCGAAGCTAAAAAATCAGTCTTCCGCTCTCTCTCTCTCTCTTCCCCCCCTCTGTACGGCTTCCTCTCTCTGTTAGTTTGCTCCCACTGCACCTCCATCCCTCCCTCGTTGTCTCTTGCTATATATACACACACTTTTTTTTTTCATCTGACTGTGCCTGTACTCATCACTCCAGGGCCAAAGAGAACAGAGGTATCTGATAAAAGTGTACTGCTGAGGTGGAAGCCCAGATCCTGCAGCCTACAGCTGAGCGTCCCACTCTCTCTCTCTGAGTGCCGGGGTGGTGGGGGGGTTACACAAAGGTCAGAATTGCCATATTATGTGTTACATATCAAAATTCAACATCTAATTGTTACAAGTACGATTTATTTAAGGGCAAATGTACGAGTTGTTCCTGCTGCTCTGTGCCTGTAAACACAGTCAGCCTTCACAGATCAGATGACCAGGATGTGACACTCTGAAGAACGCTACAGGTTCTGCTGTCAAAAATCATTTAGGGACGACACCCCCCCACACACACACCCCCCTCCTCCCCAGCTGCTGGTTCACAGTGGCCTGAGCTGACGCTCACATTTCATCCGACATGGGAACATCCACACACAGCGATCTGTTGACGAATCCCCGGAACATATCTTCATATCGTCTCACATTCAAAATGAAACGTGATCCCAAGTCTCTCTCTCTCTGTCTCTCTTGTTCTCTCCCTCCCGACTCCCTCTGTATATGTGCATGTAGCGCTCACCCGATTCAAACCATCTGGAGAAGCCCACCGCGTGCCCCCCCCCCCCGGCCTCCGTTTACCTCCTGAATAACCATTAAATAACAATAAACAACTTAGCTTTTCACACACACACACACACACAGTCTCAGCATTAGCTCGCTGAAAGATCAAATTTGATTGGTGCATCAAATTCATCAGTATCATAAGACACTGAACCGTGAAGTTTTCACCAATAAAACAGTTACAACAACAAACCAACATCCTGTCTGTTCCTGTGGTACCACACCTTAAACAACAAAAACTGTCAACTTTACTTTAATACTGTACTTTTCTTTTGTAAATCTGTGGTACAACTACAGTACTTCATATACTGCAATACTGCCATCATAACAACAGGTGAAGTGTAACTGCAGCTGGGTTATTTTCCCTGCTCTGGTCACTGACAGCAGAGGTTCTGTACCAAGGACCGGTCGGCCGACTGGTAACACCACGCTGTCGTTGACGGAGCATTTACAAAATAAATGATAAAAGTACATTGATATGGACTGTTTTTGAATGAAGTAAATTAGTAAAACTGAAGTACATCTTAATAAAAATGTGTCCAAACATGTGCTCACAACCACAGCTGTACCAGGCACACACACAAAGACAGAAAATAATCGAATAATCGTGACATCATAATTGTCCTCCTTTCTTTTTTCATCCTCAGAAACAAATGTAAATATCAAACAACCAATAGCAGAGCTCTTATTTCAGATCCCATCACACACCTGTACATGGCCACCCGTGAGTTTGAAACTAAAACACACACAGCAGCCGTGTCTCCGTGGCCTCTCCGAGGTCACAGATTGCTCGGAGAGATACAGACGCCGCGGGGAACAAATCGTTTTCCTACGAGTCACTTTTAATAGAGTGTAAACCGCACACGGCTTCTCGCATTATGCGACCGCGGCGAAGTGGCGATAGGTGTTAATGTATGTGAAGGTCTGGTGCCATCGCTCACACGCAGCGCTGTATATGAACGACTATAACCGTCTGAGTCGGTGAAAACGGATCGGGGCTCAACCTCCGTGTGACGGGTGGTGGTTCTGTGGGGGTCGGAGAGGTGTACGAACTGAAATTGGCCGCTAACTCCGTATAAATCCGGGATTTGTACTCTATTCTGTGGGTAAAAGTGATGACCATTGTTTTGGTGACACAACAAACACTGGCCACCTGCAAACACGTTATTTCCGGAAGGCTACTTCCGCCTTCACCAAGAAGGACGGACAAGGCCGCGTTTTTGTCGCAATGCGATATCGTCATTACTTTTACATACAGTTGACATACAGTAAAGCCGTTAGTTAAATATATTTTCAACTCAAAATACCCTTTTCAAGTAATTCGACAGTTAATGTATCAACCACCTGTCGATTCAACTACTTTATACGCACACGAACGACAGCGAAACACTCGAAACAGGCCTTTTATAGTCATTTACCCTTCAAAATGGACACTGGTGAACTTATAATGATAAATATTATTGTTTTTAGGGATATATACTTAATTTACATATGTGGTGAAGTATTTATGTTGTGTTGTGTGGTTTGTTTGCTCACAATGCCTCCACCGTGACGCTCCAGGATATCGAGTCTGGCCTGCATGATTTCGTCCAGGAGAAAGAGAAATGAAGCCCCGCCCACACTGTAAACTGATTGGTCAACTTCCAAGAACCTGCAAATTTGAATGTTCTACGTCTGTTACGCACTTCATGAACTGACACATTCGCTAAATCTGCCTTCCCCTTGGTTTCTAGTGCGCGCTTCCTTCACGCTCTTTCGCTGACTGACGTGCGCGCTCTTGCTTGCTCGCACTAAATTCAGGGTTTTTTTTTTACTGAACTTTGCGGACGTCAGGGGGCCGCGGTCATGATATGGACGGACGCAGAAAGTTCCGTGGACTTGGTATCAGGTTATAGATAAAACAACCGGATCAGGTCAGAGTTCTTCGCTGAGTCCGTGTCTCTATCCCCGCTGACAGTGATAGGACTCCTGGCAGTAATATCACAGGAACATTATAGTGATTTTTCAATATTGAACAGCTCTCCTGAGAACAGTTTTGAGATATAGGGGGCGCTCCACCAGAAGAGAATAAAAATACTTGCCACCCTATCTGTTGGCTAATACAACATTTTTATAAATTTAACATTAAAACACATGTTAAAAGTCACATCCCCACCATCTTAACATACTTATGTAATTATGTGGTTTGTTCAAACTTTATTTAAACTTCATTTGGATTACGGTCGGTTTATAAAATAAGACCTGAATGCATGAAACTAAAAAAATAGAAAATTGCAAAAATTACTTTTTTTTTCTCAGTCAGGGATGAGGGAAAAAACTTTGTTTTTCACTCTGACAAGTTAAAAAAAAATCATTACAAAGAGGTTAGACTGGTTTCCAGTGTGGAAAATCCTGCCTACCAGGCAGAAGGTGCCAGGTTTGATTCCACTTAGTGCAGCCCCTCAGGGCAGGCTGCTAGAACTGTGCCAAAGCTACGGTCACCGATGAGGCGACCTCCGGAGATGATAGATGATAAGAAGTTGATCTATAGATTTACTCACAGTATATTTGAACATTAATGCGCAATACTGGGAGTACTTGGATATAAAAATATAACATACTTTCTGATATTACGTCAGATGATACAATAACCCGCAACAAATACAATATTTAAATGTTATTTATAATATTAATTTTGCTTTTATTTTTCACTTTTCTTATCTCTGCTGCCGTTTTCTCTTTGTCTATGAACATGTGTGAATATACAATGATTTTTTTCCCCTTATAATTTTAGATATCACCGACTTTTAACGCGTGTTTTAAATATTTTCTATTAGCCTATAAATACAGTGGCAAACCGGGGGTAACAAATTGTATTCTCTGGTGGCAGATGCCACCCCGTGCTACCCCTAAAGAACTGCCACTGCCCTGGTGACGGGCACAAGCTGAGAGTGACTCTCCTCGCAGTCATTACGTTATTAGGTTTGAAGTGTGGGGAAAAAAACCCGAGGTTTATCATCAGGGGAGCAGCGGTGACGCGATGAAAGGCTGCGGCGCAGATACACAAGTGTTTTTCTTGTAAAGAACGGGTCAGTTTCCAATTATCACCTACGTGACACGGACAAGAGCGGGCAGCAAGAGTGTCAAACCTACCGCCTTCTTCTGCTGTGACGGCTGGAGGCGAGAGCAGCGCCAGAACACATCCGCAGAGCCAGATAAATAAATCCATCTTCAGCTCCCTGGTGATGGAGGGGAGGGGAGATTCTCGACACTTTTTCTGCCTTCTGTTCTGACACACACACACTTCCACAGTCTTGTGTTCGGTTTCTGTGGAGCTCGCACCAAAAACTCGCGTCCAAACTCGCACACGCACGCCGGGCTCCGCTCACGGCGCTCTCCAGGAACACGGCGCTGGCTCGGCCGCCGGGTGCGTAAAGGCTGCGAGTAACGGACACCGTGCAAATGGGTATGGAGTTAACACAATCTGTCCAATAAATACATCTTTAAACGCTCACAATCCATGTCGGCGTTCAGTGCAGTTCACAGCTGCCCGTCAAGAGACGCGCGTGGGAATAAAGAGTCAGGATTTCTTTTCAAACAAAGTAGAAATCACTTAAAAAATGATCAAAATCATCTGCAGCTCCAGTGTCTTTCTTAGACTGGGAATAGAAAAAAAATCCAATTGTTTTATTTGGTTTAAACACCTGTGAATAAACACTAAAAACTGCCTGTGGTTTGTCTGTGTCTCTGTTCGATATCAGTCCGATATCTGTCCGTTGTTGCGCTGAAGACTAAGATCTTTGACAAGACGCAGCTCCGCTCCGCGTGCGTAAAACGAAGGTTTGGTGAACGACCACGCAGCCTCTCCAGCGTCTTCGTCCAGGCGGAGTGAGTCTTCAGCGTCTCCCCCTCTCTCTCTCTCCCCCTCTGTGGACGTCTCTTTCCTCCCTCTTTATCTCCCTCTCGCTCACACACAGGAGCTCTGCCACTGTGCGCTCCTCCCGCTCCGATATCCACCGGGTTTGTGGCAGCGTGCGGAGCTGCTCACTCAGTCCCCTGTCCCGGCGCGCACGCACGCACGCCACGCGCATGCACGTGTATCGGATTACAGTAGGCACCTCTGCCCGCCTCCACAGAGACCCTCTCTGATTAAAGAGCACTCTGTCCCCCTTCCATCCCCTCTCTTACTCTGCCCAGTGTTTTAACCAAATAAATGTTGGTGAATCTCATTTGTACCACATTGACCCCCCGCCCCCCCCTTTCTTTCTCTTTTCTTCTTTCTCCCCCC